GATTGAAAATGACAACTGCGCCCTCCGCCGCCAGCCCGCTCCGCATGCACTCCGCACCTTAGTATCTCACTTCCGCACTGCGCCTCCTCTGAGTCTCAGTGTTTTTCTCTTTCCTCCTAATTGTAGAATTTCCACTCAGCCAGCCTTCCTGTGGTTCTGGATGATGTCTGTTTCGTCTTTTAGTTGTATTTTTGAAGTGGTTGTTCAAGGCAGCAAACTCAGGTGTTTACCTATGCCGCCATCTTGGTTTCTCTGTGTGTATAACTTTTGACTCCTTCAAAAACCTAAGTTGTCCTGCAGTATCTGCAGGGGATGGATTCCAGGATGCCCAATGGGCACCAAAATCTATGGATACTCAAGTCCCGTATATAAAATGGTGTCAATCAATGTATATAGTCATCCCGTTACATCAGTGGACTCCCAACAGTGAATTGAAAACAGTACAGGTAGTTACTGAAAAAAATACATGTATAAGTGTACCCACACAGTTCAAACCTGTGTTTTAGGGCCAACTGTAATTTAGTATTAATGCATTTGATTTTAGTATATGTGATTATTTTAACAGCTTTATCCTATATAATAACAGGCTAATATGCAAATCGACCCAACGGCTTAATGACCAGTCACTGTGATGTGCACTGACCACCAGGGGGCAGTCGCTCAACACAGGAGCTGCCCCCTGGTGGTCAGTGTGCTCCCACAGGGGCAGTGCCGCTCAGCTAGAAGCCGCAGCGGCAGTGGCAAGGATATCCGACTGCCCGGTTAAGCCCACTCCCCTAGGTAGCGGGCCTAAGCGGTCAGTCGGACATCCCCCGAGGGCTCCCGGACAGTGAGAGGGCGCAGGCCAGGCTGAGGGACCACCCCTCCCCCCGAGTGCACGATTTTCATGCACTGGGCCTCTAGTTGATATATAATTCATGTAAAGTTACCCATTTAAAGTATACAGTTCAATGGTTTTCTGGCATATTCACGGGGTTATGCATCACCACTATCTAATACCAGAACATTTTCATCACCCCAAACAGAAACCCTGCACATATTACCTGCATTGCCCCCTCTGTCAGTCGCTGGCAACCACAAATCTACTTTTAGTCTCTGTCGATATGCGTGTTCTGGGCATTCATATAAATGGAATCACACACAGTATGTTGTCTTTCCATTTATTGTTTTCATTAAACGTTTAATTTGCACACAGCCAGTCATTTATTTCCCTAGTGCCCACAGCTGCTTTCACACCACCAGGGTGAAGATGAGGAGCTGTAACAGAACATAGGGCCCCAAAGCCTAAATGTACCTCACCTAGCTAGTCCTCTCAGAAAGTGCATGTGGAGCAGAGCCGGCACATCTGCAGCTCCTCACCTAGTTCACAGGTCACCTGCCGCAGCAGCAGCATCCAAGCGGACCTACTGGCCCAGTCGAGGTTGCAGCCCCAGTAACACCTCCTCTACTCTTTGCCAGCACTTTGGGGCGCCTCTGAGGGGCACGGAGATAGATGTCCCTTGTGCTTTAGTGGAGATGCAGCTGTGCCCCAGAGCCAGAGGTCCTTAGACACTTTTAGGTTGACAGATACTTTCTGTTAATGTTTTAACTTCAGTGAATAACAGTTTGAGCAATTAATATAATTTATTTTTTTAAAATTTTTCATTTGATTTTTAAGGAGGAAGCCGGGTGGGGGAGAGAAAGAGAGAAACAACAATGTGTTGTTCCACTTAAATTGGTTGATTCTTGTATGTGCCCTGCCTGGGGATCAAATCCTCAGACGTGGCGTATTGGGATGGTGCTCTAACGGAGCTACCTGGCCAGGGCTAATGCAACTTCTCTAAATGGTGTTCTTCACATTGGAACTTAATTATTCACACATAGGAGTCCTGGGCAGATAGGGAGGGGTGGGCACTGGGACTGTGAGATGGGGCGGAAGGCCTCAGGCCTTTAGCCTGTCTGTGTTACAGACAGCAACTTTATTTTTACACCCCAAATTTGAGGAGGCCCAGGATATGAGTGTCTTTTTTAATAGTCCACACAGAGTGGTTATACACACACACATATATATATGACTAGTTGCATTCCATCCAAATCCATAAGAATATTCTGAATTAACAGTGGATGGTTCTGACATTCCCCGTTTTCCTGGAGGAAGGTTTGATCCCTCAGCATTTTTTTCAGAGTGGACCCGATGTTCAGAGTTTGCTGGGTCTAGCTATCCGCAGACTGTCCCAGGCACTCTTGTGTTAATAGCCCTAGAACCCAGAACCATCTGCTTACAATCTCAGTTCACTGTTGTCTGTCTGGAATATCCCCTTACAAGTCTTTGCTGGTTTCCTGAGTGATTTTTATTACCTGATTGGCAGTTTTCCCTCCACAGAGAACCCTGCTTCCTCGACCTTCTGAAAACCAGTCCCACAACGTCTGCTCCTTCTCTATCATGTCAAACTCCTCCATAACCGGTAAGCACTGGGTCTCCTGGGGTTGGCTCTTCACTCCTTACTGTCCTGTGGCCTCGTCTTTGGGGATGACAGGCATTCGCGTTTATGGCTGTTGGAGTGACATTTGCAGCATTCCTTTGTCCATTCTGTCAGCAGAAACTGAGTGTGCCCGAGCCAGGCAGGCATGGCCCCCTACAGGTGGTCCGCAGGCAGCTTCCTTCAGAGGAAGCCCTGTTAGGGATGCTTCGCTTAGTTCAGTCCGCCCTCTCTGTATAACATCTTGTCAGGTATTTTTTTGTTTTGAGTTTGTTTGTGTGTGTGTGTGTGTGTGTGTGTGTGTGTGTGTGTGTGTGTTTTGTCAGGCATTTTAGGGAAAAAATGTGCAACTCATGCCTTCATAGGTTTCTCTCTAAGGTCAATGGGGGCCCTGGCTCTTTGAAGTAAATTTTCTTACTTCAGTGAGAATTATTCAGTGAAACACATAACTCTGTGATTTAGCTTTTAAATCAGCCTTGATTTTCACATTTCAGACAGACTTACTGCTGGACCCAGACAGCTATTAATTGCTTTTTCTTGTGCCTTCTTTTCATCTACAGAAGACCTAGTAGGAAAGAGCCCAATTACAGAGGCAGAATCTTAATCCAAGATTTGATGCTCTCATTGCTTCAGAGGAGCTTGTAGCTTCGCTTGGGTGTGCATCACCCTTAAAGGGCCATTCCCAGGGGAATGACAGTGCTGACAGCACCCTCTTCAGCAGCCCCCCCAGGCCACAGTGGTGCTGTTACCACGGGTGCCAGACCTTTTTCCTCATTGGAGGCCCGTTTGACCTCTGACTTCCCCAAGTTAGCACAGTTTTGGAATGTTCAGTGGTGTAGTGGTGTCCCCTTGGCTCAGCTTCCATGGTCCCAACTGGCTGTGAAGCCGACCCTTTGTATACCTGCCATGCAGCCAGAGAGCACTGGGGCAGGTGGGCTTGATGCAGCTGCTTCTGTTTTTGTCCTCACAGGTAGAGGCTCATTCCGGCCCATCCAGTCTTCCCTCACCAAAGCGGCTCTGTCTCGGCCGATCATGCCCAAGGTCCTTCCGCCCCAGGCCCCGGGCCACCTGGCCAGTAAGTTTCTGTGACCGGCATGGGGACAGACACCCCGTGAGACTTGTGAATGATGTTTGTTTTCTTCTTCCCCCAAACCATGCTCTCATTATCCTCCAGAGAGAACAGGAAATCTGTTTCCCTTGCTTGAAATGCGGCATGAGGGAGAGGCTATTCCTGTGAGCGCTGCAGAGTATGTTTGGAATGTCAGTAGAGCTCCCATTGGCAATGTCTTTTCTGTGCCAGGTGCTGTCGACTTAGCAGCTACAAGTGCTGGCATCATCCCCGGGAGCCCCCTCCCTGTCTTGGATGCTGAGGGTTTGTCTGGCATCTCTCCACTGTCTTCAGATGAGGCAACAGCTACCCTTCCGGGTCAGGACTCCGCTGGCACCCTCCAGAATGGCGACCCCATCCCCACTGTGGGGGTGAGTGTTTGGAAGGGCTTCTCGAGTTACCACCAGCTTTCAGGATGGGTCGGTCACTCTCCAGAGGGATGGGAGCCAAGATAATGGGGCTGGTGTCATGCTGGACTCTAATTCTGCCTCAGGAGTGGGATGGGCCTGATGACCAGAGGGGAGTCACAGAACCAGGGAGGCTGGGGCATGAGTGCGCTCTGCGTGGCTCAGGGGGAGACCATGGAAGGAGACAGAGTGGGGACAGGTTTGCTGGGTGACACTGGAGAATCCAGAACTGAGGTAAGCAAGATCTATATGTCAGCAGACTTCTCAGATGTCAGCTTGGTCTGAGAAGGAACTTTAACCAAGTGGACCAACAGTGGGCCGAGTGATCCCTGACTGCCACTCCTCTCCGGTTCTCTCAGTGCTCTGGTTTCACGGCCAGCCCAGCCTGAGGACTATGAGGTTTTGAATTGAGAATCTTAAGTGCAGTGACTTCTTGGCCCACCTTCTGGAAGCAGTGAGCTTGCTTGTCTTCACAGGAAGAGATTTCCAACCTGGACCTCAATGGGTTCCTGTAATGTTGGCTGTTAGGAAGCTGGGGAGTGGAACAGCTCTTGTCTCAGGAGCTTAATAGCCATTGGGCAGAGTTCTGGCATGCTGACTGTAAGGGCTCTTAGGCATTCATGGTGTGCTTTTCTTGTAGGGTACAAGCGATCCATTCATCAGCATCCCCGCGAGGCCTGAGCAGGAGCCAGTGACGGAAGGTTTCCAGGTAGAGTGTGCTGTTGGCTGCTGAGCAAAATAGCTGCCCCAGAGCCCCCCTCCAGTGCCGAGTCCCCGTGCTCATGGTCCTGCCAGCAGACCTGGCCTCCCTGCTGTGAGTTGCCAGGATGTGACAAGGACACTCGGACATCCAATGGTTTAATCCTCCCATTGCCTAGATAAAAGGAGCATGCATCTTCCATCTCAGGTTTCTTCTTCCCTTCCACGTGGCTGGCTGATTCAGACACAGTTCTGAAAGATCAGTTTCTTGGGCTAAGGGGAGGAGATCATCAGCTGGCAGCACTTGTTGGCACTTACCTTCTGCCTGGGTGTTACCAGCTGTCTTGCTGGCAGGGAAAGCAGGTCCAGATGTCCAGGGCACTGTGGCCAAGGCCCCCCTGGCCCAGCCTTCCAACTCTGCATCCCCAGAGTAGTTTCTGGAGGAGTTAATGTGTTTCATACTAGAATGAAGAGGTATCTGCTGTGGTCACCGCCTCTCTGTTGACTTGGCCATCACTTGGTTACCATCTTTTGGGGTTGAGGTTGATTTTTTGTTCCTTATTAGGGGATTGGTTGATCCATTGTATCTGAACAATTCCCATCTCCCACCAGGGATCACCTGTCCTCTCCTTAACTGAGCTATCTAAGGCTCCTCTGCACAATGGGCTTTCCACCCCACTGCCCTTGGCAGAGGGCTCCAGCACTCGGCTCTCTCCACCTAACGTTTCTGCTCTGCTGGACATCTCTCTCCCCGGGCCACCTGAGGACGTGCTCTCGCAGGGAGAGCCTGCCACTCAGATCAGCGACTCCATCATTGAAATCGCCATCAGCTCTGGCCAGTACGGTAAGGAACAGGCTGCCCCTGCACACCCTTCTTGGAATCAATTCCCCATTAGGACGGGGGATGCAGGCTTGCCCTTGACCTCCCATCTGAGCATTTGCCAAACCTGCTGGGTATGTTCCCATTCCACTCCCACTTTTGCACCTGCCACCTATATGGCCTTGCCCAGCAGAGGCAGAGGCAGCACCAGTGAACAAGGTACAGATAGGACCTACAGCTTTGTATGGTCTGGTGGGACTGCTCCTGGCCTTGAGACCAACAGGATTAGATGGGCCATTGTCCTAGTTGGTCATGAATCTAGGTGAATGCCTTTGGGTTTTGCAAGTTCCAGGAGGGAACTGGACTGGTATCCTGTAGCAGTGGTGTGGTCGGCACTTGCTTGTATGATTCAGGCCGTGGATTCAGATTAAGCTGACTTCACAGGCTAGTAGTGAGTGGCTGTGGGCAGGTCACCAGCTCACTTGTGAAGTGGGAATAGCATGTAATTCATAGGGCTATTGTAAGTGACCATGAGAGGATTTAGGTGAAGCTCTCAGTGGCTGTGGGCAGGTCACCAGCTCACTTGTGAACTGGGAATACACAGGGCTATTGTAAGCGACCATGAGAGGATTTAGGTGAAGCTCTCGGCATAGCACCTGGCTCATCAGTGATAGCTATGGCCATTGTCGTCCCCTAAGGTAGGTACGTGTTCCTTCTGTAGGGGATCCCCTCCACAGACCAGTGTTATTCATCATCCATGGGGATCCAAGCAGAGTCCCAGACCTCCAGGGTCTAGTGGCGCACAGCTGTGCTGCTCGCTGCCTTAGTGGCAGGTTGGAGCAGAGTGCTGTTCACCCCACATGGCGTCTCTGACCCAGGATTTTGGTTGACAGGTGAAGGAGTCCCTCTTTCTCCAGCAAAACTAAATGGCAGTGACAGTTCCAAGAGTCTTCCTTCCCCATCCAGCAGCCCCCAACCAGACTGGATTGCCTCCCCCACCCATGACCCCCAGTGGTGCCCCAGCGACCCCACGGACTCGTCCCTCGGCAGCTTGTTTGGTGAGTGTCTGTGGGGGGTGCCCCGGTCTCTGTCCTAGACCAGCAGGACGAGCAGGGCTCCACATGGTGAACTTGGTGGGGGACTAGAGCCTAGATTCTCCTTGACATCTGGCAGAACTCCCACTAGGACTGTTTGCTTGTTTTCCAGGGTTTATTTTTTCTGCACCACTTACATTTGGGAGAATGTCCAGATCTCCAGTGTGCAGTTCACTGAGCTTTGGCAAACGTGACATCCTTGTAACCCACAGCCCAGTTGCGATGTAGCCCCCGTCTATCTCCTCACACAGTCCCCTGTGCTCTTCTCTAGTCCAGCCAGCTGTCCTGGCCCCTCCCATACTAGGTACTTCTGTTCTTGCCACCAACAGCAGGGTAGAAGACATCGGCTTCCCTCTTTCTGTTCTCAGTAAAATATTCTGATGTGGACAGGCCAGCTGTCTGGCGACATGTTGACCAGTTTGGCACGTTCACAGGATGTGTTCATCCTCATTGGGCACCAGGCGTTGTGCGATGGGAAGGGCATGTTAGGGGAAGACACAATGCTCTCAATGTCCTATGTAAGAGGGGCTCCGGGGCATGTCTGGGATTCATGCGCTTTGCATTTTTAGAGAGCAGCCAATACGTGCACATGGCCATCAGACTGCAGCCCCGCAGGGGGTTGTGCTGTACACATGTTGAACCGGGTCAGCACCTTGTGTAGACGCCACACCTGATGGCCCAGAATGTGGGCTCTGGTCTGGGTGATACAGGGAGCCAGCACCCAGTGAGTGTTTCCTGTTATGAGAGGCCCAGAGAACAGTACAGATCTCTGCAAAGTCAAATACAAATCATGAAAAACGGGAAACCACATTACCTGGAGGTGGGAGTGGTGACTGGACAGCAGAGCACTGAGGGGCCCCTATAATATGAGGCCTACTTATATGTGCTTCTGAGGACCCTCCAAGGCTCCTCATTTGACAAAAGCCAGGTTGGCTACAGCTCCACACCAAGCACTGTGTGCAAGCGTGCAGATGAATGCCTGCATGGGCCTGGCGAGGCTACCTCCAGCCCTCAGATCCTTCCCTTGACCAGAGCTGACCAAGCTGTCTCAGGGCCTGATCCCCTTTTTCTTGGCAGCGAGCTTCATCTCGGAGAAAGGCCGAAAGATGCTGCCGACTCCAGTGGGGACCCACAGTGGCACCTCCCTGCTGGGCCCCAGCCTGCTAGATGGAAATTCGAGAGACTCGTTTGTGTCCAGATCCCTGGCTGATGTGGCAGAGGTAAGTACACAATCTTATGCCTGGACTTGACCACCAGCCCTTATTCCAGAGGTGACCAAGTCCCTCAAGCAGACACCTGTTTGGTAATTAAGAATTTTTCATCAAGATGTTAAAACCAGGAGCCAGCACATGCACATCCAGGTTTCTGGCTTCTGAGAAGGGAAATTCTGGTGGCAAACAACAAAGTAATAGCTGAGCTCTGAAGGCATCAAACCCTGGAAAATTCGGGGTTAACTGGGGGTTCTGCCGGCGACCAAAGCAGGGATTGGATCTCATTGTGGCCTACACCAGCCGCTTGATCTCAGGCAGGTAATGCTGCCTCTGTGTGGTGCTGATGCCATTGGTAGAAGAGTAAAGAGCACCTGTAGGTGGCTTTGTCATCACTGCTGGTACCTGACAGGAGAGGGCCTTCAAACAGCCCCTCCCTGTGTCGTTACATGTCACTGCCTCCCAAGCAGGAGAATGGGCTCTGCAGGAAGGGCACAGATACTCCCTCAGGCTCCTCCCACGGTGAGGGTGATGACAACAAAAGTCACATTATGGCAGCCCCTCAATGTGCAGGCAAGGCTCCGTTTGTGACCCTCATCTTTGGACCAGCATGCAGTGTCCCTCTTTCTTAGGCCAGGCTGTCTGCTCATGTAGCCACCCAGGCTCCATCCAACATGGTATGAGTGTTGTTTGAGCAAGAAAGCCTCGCAAGGTTGTGCACTGATTGAAGGAGTAGAGACAGGTACATTTAATTATAAGGCAAGGTATGAAGTAACAGGTGCTGAAAGAAAAATTTAGAGGATATGCTTAAAATGGAGAGATTCCACATGTAGAATGTCACATGGGCTTGGTCCTGTTATTAAAGTACTGGAGCAACATTTCCAAATCCTGGCTTCCTGAGATGCTGAGCTGTTGGTAGGTGTCCCTCAAGGGTTTTATAGTAAGACTAGTGGGCGAGTGCACAGATTCATGCACATTCAAAGGAAATCAAATAGAAGGTGGCTGATGGGGCAGGACTGGGCGAGATGGGCCGGACATGCCCTGGAGCCAGCCTCCTGTGGTCCCTCCCTGACCGGCTGCACCTGGAGTGGCGCTGTGGCTCAAAGGGCATCTGCGGAGTGAGTGGGGTCCCTCTGGCAGGTGGGGCCCCTCGGCCTGGCCTACGGGGATCAGGCTGAAACCTGCTCTCTGACATCCCCCCAGGGGTCCCGGAGTGCAAGAGGGCACTCTGCAAAGTTGCTGTCGTACGGGGTGTGGAATGCAAACAGAAGTGTGCAGTAAACCAGATTTGGGGCTAATAGTGCCCCAGCAACAACATAACCCATGGCCAAAGGTGGAATCACATGGCCCCGCGAGGAATCGGGCTCCCTCCTCTCTGGTTTTGGGGTGCATCACCTGTGAACTGCCACTGCCAAGTCACTGCAGCTTGGCAGCTCCTGCATTGAGCATCTGCCCTCTGGTGGTCAGTGCGCATCATAGCGACTGGTTGGACACTTAGCATATTAGCCTTTTATATGTAGAGATTCTTAAGGGGAACCCTGGATCAGACAAGACTAACACAGTGGTGTCCCATTGCCTCCTCAGCTCTCGGTCTCCTGATGTGAGTCTTAAGATCTGAGGAGCTGTGGGAAGGCTTTTTGGAGGATTCTAAGCCAGCTCCTAACATGAATGGAAATTTCACCGAAATACGAACTAAACAGAGCAATATAGTACATTTCCTCCCCCTCGATGAGCATTTCTGTGGCCATAGAACCTTTATTTAGAGAAGATCTTGTGACTTAATGTCCCATAAGAGGCTGGTCTCTCCTTTCCTGTGTCTATGTGGACATTGTTTATAAGCTCCTAGCTCCTGTGGAAGTGGCCACTGCACAAACATCCCAAGATGACACACCTGGAACCACTATTCACAGGTGGTCCACAGAACCACTGCAAAACACCTTGGACTTGTTAGAAGGGCAGGCTCTCGGGCCCACCCCAGGGCCAGTGAACCAGAACCTGCATTTCCAACAAGATCTCTGGGTGGCCTGTTGCACACAAAGGTGAGCAGCACAGAACAAAGACAGGTGCTATTCATGAATTACTAAATCCATAGCTAGTAACATATTTACCTCCAGAAATAGCCGTTGTTTAACAAAAAGATCTGACCACGAACTCTCCAACTCAAAAAACATGAGTGTGTTTTTTAAATAGTCCTTATCATCTAGAAGTGCATTCTGAGATGTGTGGCTGAAATGATCTGATGTTGGGATTTGAACAAAAGTTATGGGAGCAAAGAGTGGGTTGGAGAGGTGGGCCTAGATGGGCCACAGATTGATGAAGCTGGTGATGGATATGTGGGGGAAACAGTCACTATTCTACTTTTTTCCTTCTTTTTTAAATCCTTGCCCGAGTTTATTTTTTCCCAGACAGAGCAGAAGGGAGGGAGGTGGGGGGGAAGGGGGGGAGAAAGAGAGAGAGAGGGAGAGAGAGAGATAGATAGGTGGCAGGGGAAGGAGGGGGAAATGGCGTGAGAGAGATACATCAAGTAGTTGCCTCCCGCATGTACCCCAACTGGGGCGGGGTATAGAACCCACAACCAAGGTGCGTGCCCTTGACAGGGAATTGAACCCAAGACCCTTTGGTCCACAGGCCAACACTCCAACCTCTGAGCAAACCGGCCAGGGCTTGCTCTACTTTTTGAAAACAAATTTGTTTGTTTTATATTTCTCATAATAGATTCAAAATTCGGTTCAGGCCATAGCTCTACTCAGAATTTTCCAAGGCTTTTTATTTCATTATATCATGCAATTTATTCATGATGTGCCAGGCACTGCTACAGGCACTGAGTGAATAAAACAAAGGCCCTCTCCTCATGAGGCTTTCACTCCAGCAAAGAAGGAAGACAGTAAATCCTGAAGACTGTATGGCAGAATGTTCCATGTTTTTGTCCACAGAATGAAATCCCAATACCTAAGGCCCTGCCGTACACACTTAAGTCTCTCTTCTCTTATTCAACTGTTGTCCTGACTCACTGTCACATCCACCAGCTTTCTTGTTTCTGGAAGAGCCGAAGCCTGTTCCCACCTCAGGGCCTTTGCACTTGCTGTCTCTTCTCACAGGAATGTGCCTCCCCTTTCCCCCATGGCAAACTCTGTCCCCTTTCTCCACTCATGTCTCCTACAGGCCACCCCACAGTTTCTGCTTTCCACTCTCTGCCGTTTGCCTGTTTGACTGTCTTCCCTGACAAATCTCATATAAATGGAAGCACTGCTCTGATCCCAGCAGCCAGCTGTGCCAGGCTCACAGCAGGCTCTCCTGCACACTTGTCAAAACAGGAAGAGTTCAAAACGATGGGCGATTCTGAGATTCTTCCCAGAGTACTAGGCCACCATTACAAGTCGATGGGAGATTCCAATCTTCACCGTAGAGAGACTCAAGTTCACCTTCTACTGGAAGTCCTGGTGGTAGCGAGTCTCCTCGTCTAGGTGGCAGGCCACCACCAGCTGATGTGGTCTTGCCTTGTGTCCTCTGCCCACAGGTCGTGGATTCCCAGCTGGTGTGCATGATGAATGAAAACAGCGTTGATTACATATCTCGATTCAACGACTTGGCCCAGGAGCTGTCCATCGCCGAGCCCAGCCGCCGAGAGGTTCTGTTTGATGGCAGTGGAAGTGGCCCCCCTGTCAGTGACCTATCCCAGTGAACATACAGCGTACTCGTGGTGGGGGCATCCTGGAGGCTTCAGAGGAGGGCTTACAAAACACAAATCAAGCCCGGGACCCCGAGAAGATGGTCAGAATAGAGACACCTCTGCACCCCAGAATATGCAAAATGCTGGAAGCTGTACCCCAACGGGGAGAGGGCCGTAGTGGCCTGAGAGATGAGGATGAGGCCTGCAATGTCATACATCACTGGCATTGGAGCCATTCTTCGCCAGTCGTGGGATCTCATACTGGGGCCTGTGTAATGACCACATCTGCCTTGGTTGTTGTGTTGGACAGTTCAGTGGGTTTTCTTTCTGAAAGAAAGGAGCGGGTGTGTGCCCGGCGAAGTCATCGTGCCCTGGGGAGTTGTAGTCTCCCTGCTCTCTATAGGGAGGCTCCAGGTCATGGCTGCATTCTTTCTGCAAAACCTGTACCACACTTTGATTGCTTCTCTGCAAAGTGATGATGGAAGGGGGTGACGGGACAGCTGGGCCTGGGCTGGGCTTTGCCTGGTGGTATCTGTACCCTAAGACAGCTTCATGGGGACACTTCAGGGGACACTGATCACAGGGCAGCGTAACTGGAGCCATCACCCCAGAAATACTGATCCTTGCCTAGTGCTTCCCTATCTAGATATGTTTTCTGAACAGGACGGGGAAAGAATCATGTCTTGTGCAGGTTATATGGGCTTTCAGAAAAGAATCCTGCTAAGCTGCTTGGAGAATGTTTTTCTTTTGTTTTAAGAATTAGACAATGAGGAGGTAACCCAGTTTAGTTGGTTTCCTTCTTGCATCATCTAAAGTTTCTTCTAGGTGATCTATAACGTTACTTCTATTGGGACGATCCTAAGCACTTGTTTAACCACAGTTAAGACTTTCCTGATGAGTCCTTGAACTTCTGATGTGTTATCGTTTAGCATCTGAGACAAATGTACTTTTCAGGGGAATTTCTTTTTTTTTAGTCTTCTCTTCCTTTCATTGGCCTAAGAGCAGAGCACACTGTGATGTGCAGGTTTAATCCCCCATGTCTTCTTTTGCCCAGTGGTCTCTTATTTTGCTCCTTCCTGTTCAGGGAATGCAGACAAGGGTCATACATCCTGATGCAGTTAGAGCACTGCCACATCGCCGTATTGTTCTCCGTGAGCCTCCTTGGTGACCAGTTACCATTGCAAGTAGCCCAGTTTCCAGTTTTCCCCCGGAATGGAGCTAACAAGGCTCGTGTGTTTGCTCAGCCTTGGGAAACGCAACATTTAATTCACCCTTTAGCCACGTTCCGTGTGGCCAGAAGCCAGTGCTCTTGTGTTGGACTAGTCATACCTGAGCCACCATCCCACCTGCTGCCCCACCCTCCCCCGACAGCCAGGATCACCCACCTGAACCAGTCTCCCTCTCTGTTGCTCACCTTTCCTCTTCCCCTGACTGGCAGAGAAGGCAGCTCTTGAGGCCAGCCCTGGTCCTCTGCAGAGGCTTCTCCACAATGAGAGGTCAGCCTGTGTGGAAAGGAGAAGAAAGGTCTTTTGTGTGTGCAAGGAGAGGGGACACTCTTGATCCCATTGTCTCACCAGCTGTTTGCAGCCCTTTTAGGCTGCAGACAGGGTCATTCGCTCCCAGCCATGGAGGAAACAGGACGTTTGGCTTCTAGGCAATAGCTTCTTTTCTTTGTTTCAATTGTTCTCGAGCTTTTGCCTCTAATGTGGCTTCCTTCTTTCAGATCTGGTTCTAGGCACCAATATCACTAAGAAAAAGCCTTCTGGGCTCTTAGGAAAAGTCTCAAAGTTCTGGTGATATGAAAGAAAGGAACATGCTAACACTTTATTAAGAGATATCGACAACATTGGACCAGAGTATTTTTAAGCTACTTGTGTTTTGTGATCAATATATCAGCTTTCTGAAATTAGCACCTTATATTGAGCTGAACAAGATCAGGATCGATCTCTCTCTCACTCTCTGACACTCACTCTCGGGGCATCTGACTGTTAGGTCTACAGTAGGATAATAGACCAGGCTAAGTTTAGGCCGTGACTAGCTTCCTCATACTCCTCCACAGTCTGGGACCAGGACCGATCAAGTAACGTCAGAGCTGCAGGTGATGCCCAATGGCAGTGTGTACTGTGCCAGAGACAGTAGGGCTCCTGAGCTGCTTGTTCAGGGTCACCTCAAGGCAGTCTAGTGGGTAAGCTGGCACCTGTCACCCAGAGACCCCTAAAAGGAGAAAAACTCAGACTCAGATCAGCTTTTGTAGTTATTTAGCTGCACCCCCTGCCTGGGTTTCTGGCATAGAATCCGTCTGGGAGTAGCTGGCTGGCCAGTGTCATTCAGTGGGGAAGTGAGCCAGGGAGGAGAATAGGCCGACTCTTCTCTCCTCTAATAAAACTCACAAGCTTCCAGAGAATTCTGCTGCTTCCCTAGCAACCAGAGAAGTGTGTGTGTGTGACAAGCCAGTTCTCCAGGCATAACCCAGGTGTGGGACTTAAAGGTTTCCTATTGACTTAATTTGGAAACGGCAAGGTAAGGAGTGGTTGGTATGTTGTATGTTAGGATGGGAAAGAAAAGCTCCACTGACACATGTAGGAGATGTTTTTTAAGTGGAATCCTTTTCAACTCAAAACAGATATAAAAAGCAAGGTGAAGAACACACACACAAAAAATAATTGTCAAAGGCTGGGATTTTCAAAAGGCCCAAGCCTCCCACCTCCTGCATCTTTCTCTGTCTCTCCAGTGGCAGGTGTCATAGTCTCAGTATGCACCTGTGGCTTCCTTGAGCACGTTATAATTAAGAACAGGTCAGTTTCTGAGACCTATGTCCGAGGTCACTCTAATGTCTGGCATCTTTTTGCTGATTCATCATTTGTAAAGAGTGAGATCGTCTCTGGTCTTAAGGGAGTTGGTGGTGTGGCCTTAACTCTTATTGTGACTATCCAGTGGTGAGCATTTTATTCTTTAGAAAATGCAGAGGCAGATCGAAGTTTATGGTTGCACATGAGGTTCAGGATGATATTTTTTTATTTCTCTGTATCTTCTGGGTGTAGGGCACTTGCTCTGGGAGTGGGGATAATTGGAAACATTTCGTAAGTGGATCTACTTGCTTCCCTACATCTGTGGGTTCTCAGCCCCAGAGTCCCATTCTTTATCATTCTGTGTCACTACTGATGGGTTTCCTTTTCAGTGTAATAGCATTTTTACCATCCAGTCCAAACCTGTGCAGAGAAAAATGATGGAACAGAAGCACTGGAAACAAGTGGATGAGAACAGCAGCTGCTGTGGGCTTTTGTTGTTTAAAACTTTGAGACCTATCAGATGCATTTGTGAGGAAATAGGGCACTTTGTCTTAAGAGGGAAAAAGAAAGAAACCGCAGCAAACCTTTCCTGACTATCAAAGCTCTCTCCTAATCCCACAGTAATGTGTAAGTCATGTTAAGCAAGTTCAGTCTTGGAAGCACTACAGCAACCTGTACCCTTCATTCTGTAACAGGATAACTGGCTCCGGAGCTTCTGGCCCAGGCAGCAGAACTTACTGCTGTTTCTTTTAATAATCGTTAAGCCATATCATCTAAGGTTTTCGGCTTGTTTGAGATGTGAATTTGTTTAATAGATAATAAATATACATATACAGTGTATGTATAAAGCGGAATGCCTGTCCTTCCTGATTACTTTTTGTACCATATTGTAAATTACATTATTTATTCTTTACCAATTTTGGGAATAAAAGGTGTTTTGGTTATTTAATATAATAAACAAAAGCTGTTAAACTTCTTATGTTTAAATTTCCAGTTTAACTTGTAAATCTGTTTTTATTATTGTGCATAAATACATACTAATACTTGATCTAATAATTATTGTTTCTGCCTTTTTTTTTTAAGTGTGCACTTTAAAAACAGTTCAAGTTGGTTGCACATTGTCCTGTGCACAGAAAGGCTGCAGGTTCAATTCCTGTATCCCACCACCCCCTTAGGACAACTGATCAATGTTTCTCTCTCATGTTGATCTCTCTCTCTCTCTCTCTCTCTCTCTCTCTCTCTAAGATGAATCCACTGGTGAGGATTTAAAAAAAAAAAAAGCCCACCCTATCCGGTTTGGCCCAGTGATAGAAATTCCAGTCAAGATCACATAACCTACCTTGCAGGCTCAAACCCCTGCCCTGGTCAGGGCACGTGTGGGAGGCAACCAATCTATGTCTCTCACATCCAAATCTCTGTCTCTCCCCGCCCTCCCACTCTCTAAAAATCAATGGGAAAATATCCTTGGATGAAGATTAACAACAAAAAAGCTCAAGGGCTTTTCATTTGGTGAAATGTCAGAATAGATGGGCTGACGGCAGTGTAATTTAGCTACAGAACACTCCCAACTGTTTCGTTTTTTTAGTCACAAATAGGGAACTGGGGCACTGAGTATGTCTTCCTGAGGGGCCCTTCTACCCCCTAGGACTGATCAGGACAGGAACTGCTGAATCCCTGAACACAGAATTCGCATTAGCGCCCTTTTGCCAACTAGCGGATGCCTTGGACCGGTTTGCAAAATCCGTAAGCAGCGGGTCAGAGGCCTTGGGGCAGAGGTTGCCGCCTAAGGAAAGTACAGATTTTACCCTGTTCCTCCCACCCCGGCTTGTCATCCCTCCACTGTCGGTCGGGTCGCTCCGGCTCCCGCCCAGGGAGAGGTTCCCGTGGGGAGGGGGAGGGGCGTCTGGCCTGGCCGCTAGGGGCACGGACCTACGTCCTGACCCCGCCCACCTCAGGGGCAGCCTGCCTTCTGCCGGCCTGCTGCCCAATGCCGACACCCGATGCCGTCAGCGGCACCTGCTCTCACCAATCGGCTGCGAGCACGGCCCTCCACACGCCCTCGCGTCTTGGAGCGGGGGCGGGGCCACGCGCCGCGATAGGGTGTGGCGGCATGACTGGCACCG